ATCTTTGAAACCAAAATCTCATGATTCCCAAATGAGGCAGATTACTCATAGTCAAAGTGTGGGATCCTCTCCATTTGGAGGGGGAAGTCAACCCGTGAACGCGAGTGTTCCTAAGTTTGAGAGGCAAAACTCTATAACTGATCCAAAAAGAGTGCATGGTGGTTCTCTTTCTCACTTTTCAAACAATTCAGCGGTGCAACCGAATTCAGTTTCCAGACAAGCCTCAACAAGCAAGGAGCAGAGTCCTGGCCCTCTGTCATCACTGACATATGTTAAGCAAGAATCAGTGGATCAGGTCACTGAGCAGCAGCGGAACTCCCATTTAGCTACACCACAGGGTTTGTCTGCTGCTCAGGTTGAAGGAGGGAATACAATTCCTGGGTCTTCAAGGGATGATCTCTCGGAGAAGCAGGCTTCCAGAATTGGATCCTCGGCATCTGCTAGTATCATGCCCTCAAATTCAGTTTCACCTTCCATGACAACACAACTAGACTCTAGTGTTCTGGTAATTTATATCCTTCTACTTAATTTTTGTTCACTTTTGCGTGGGATAAAAATCTTTTTTTTTTGGTATGTTTACTTTTGTTTTCTCATTCAATTCCTTGGTCTTTAAAGGATGATCTCTCTGCATATGAAGGGTAAGAACTATTGTACTTTTGTACTCCTATCCCCCTTTTGTTAAAGTAACCTTGCAGGTCTTGTATCAAAAATAGTGAACCTATACATGATCATATAGTTTTCAATTTCAAATTTTCTCACTGCTGCTATGCTGCCAGTTGAATTCTCGAATCCCATCTGCGACCTCTCCAGCTGGAGTTAATGCAAGAACACCCCCTAAAAAGTCTTCAGTTGTTCAGAAGAAACCACTTGAAGCACTTGGCTCCTCACCACCACAATTAAGGTATATAATTTTTGGCATACAAAAGCTTGAGAATGGTACTAATTATTAGGTGAGCATTGTTATATTTGTCCTCAATTCTAATGTTTTTTTTGTTGTTTTTCCCCCATGTAACTGATGGGATTTCCTCCAGTAAGAAACAGAAAGTTTCTGGGTCCTTTTCAGATCAAAGCATTGATCAACTCAATGACGTCACCGCTGTCAGTGGAGTCAATCTTAGAGTATGGTATTTGGTGAAACTAGTGCCAATTCTATAAGAGGACTTAAGTAAAGGACCTTCTGATAATCTTATCTTAAACAGGAAGAGGAAGAACAACTCTTTTCTGGGCCCAAAGAGGACAGTCGAGCATCAGAAGCATCTCGGAGAGTTGTGCAAGAGGAAGAAGAAAAACTTCTTTTGCAGAAATCTCCACTGCAGAAAAAATTGGCTGAGATCTGTTGATACACTTTCTATCCCTCCTTATATCTTTGTTTACTTAGGGATGCAATTTTTTCCATATGTAAGAAATGGCGTCTTTTGTACAGCTGATATCTGGTCTTGTATGTTTAACAGTGGCCAGGTGTGGTTTGAAGAATATAAGCAATGATGTGGAGCAATGCTTATCCTTGGTGAGATGCAAACTACTTGGTTAGTTTCAGTATGAGTTCCTTACATTTCTTCTTATGTAGCTAAATCTGTAGTGTGTGGAGGAAAGGATGCGTGGACTAATATGTAATATTATCAGATTATCAAAACAGGTTAGTTTCTGCTTCCTAATGGTTATTTGATTGCATTTACTGCCGCGTTTCTTCATTTCAAACATCTTTCTACAGAGGGTTGATATGGAGAAGGCTAGGCACCAGGTTTTTATGACCTCAGATGTACAGCAGCAAATTATCATGATTAACCAGAAAGCTCGAGAAGAGTGGGAGAAAAAGCAGGTTGAAGCAGAAAAGCTTCGCAAACTTAATGAAGTGGTTGGTCAAGATATTGTTTATTTACTTCTTGAACTATCCATTATATAAGATACGTATGTCAAAGGAAGTACGTAAGGTTTATGTTGTGATATCTTGACCCGTCAGCCATTTAATATAGTCCTGTATAGAGATACTAATTTTACTCCTTTATGTAAAATTACTGAACGAATGCCTTATCAAATGCAAAATTGCTGAATGCAGCCTGACGATGACATTGGAGTTGATGGTGACAGGAGAAAGATGAATGTCGAGCAAAATCAGCAAAGGTATTATTAATGGTGCATATATGTGTACAGATTTTTTTAGCTTATCTTGTTTTTTAGGCAAACAAGGAGGAGGATGACAAAATGAGAACAACAGCAGCAAATGTGCTGCACGAGCTGCTGTTGGGGGTGATGACGTGCTGTCAAATGGCAACTTATGGCTGAAGCTCGCCAGAAACGTGAAGGAGTGGTAGATACTTCATCTTCTCAGGTAGGTAAGGATGTGAGCCAGAAGCCTCTATCAGCATCTGGAAGAAATGCAAAAGACAATCAGGAAACAGAGAAAAGAGGCCACGGAACTTCTGTTTCTGCATCTGGTATGTGGGTGTTACATCATATTGATTGCTAGTTTTGTCCTGGAATGTTATCTGGTAATATCCCACTAAGTTATGCTAGACGCTGCCCATGGCGGTGGTTGCTAGTTTTTCTTTCGAAATATTATCTCGTAATATCCCACTAAAACTATGCTAGACGCTGGCCCACGGATGTGGGTCACACATTTAGATTTCCCCCCATCTCTCTTCTGTCTGAGCAAGTTTATGCTCCTTCCATTTGGCTATTCCCCACCCCCTATCTGACCAGTTTGAGTGTCGTGGTAATCAGAGAAGGTGCTACAGTGAATATCAGTTTTGTTTACAGGAGAAACATAATCTGGCGGCCCGCAGGGGGAGCAGAGGGGAATAACATTAACTCCTCATGACTGCTGTTTGAGGTTAAGAGAGTGTAAATGGTTCTTTTAAACATTTGGAAGGAAATTCTAGGTTCTCAACAGTGCTCCTGTTCCTCTCCTCAAATAACTCACCTTTCTACAGTTCCTGTTTGCTTCAATTCTGCCCTGTGCCCAGACCCAACTACCAAGTTGAGCTTCAAGAAGTTTAGGGCAGTCTTTCAGAGCTAGGTCTACTAGCCAGCACTCTATATTTGCTTCAGACGTTCTTCTTAGTTAGAATCCTTTCAAATGTAGGCTTCCCAGGCCAGAAAAAGAAAAACATTAGCGAGAGCATTTCTCATACAGATGTGCTTCCAGGGAAAATTATTCAGAGCAGAAGAGCCAGCATTGAGGGATTTGTGGTGGGATTTTACCCTAAATAAGTAAAGATCCGAAGATGTGGCTGACCTGAACCGGAACCAAGATATTTAATTTTATATACCTGAACCTAAATGGGCAAAGAGAAAATCATAACTCGCTTTACATATCTATATATATATATTATAAGTAAATAATAATAAAATAATTTCAATTATATTTTCATACATCTCTATGGATTAAGTCAGGTTTGGATATTCAACAATCAAATCTAAACCTGACCTGACTGACTATCCTCCCCATAAACTGGAGCAGACCTAAATTTTAAATAAAAACACCTGTATCGGGGAGGGCTTATGAAGATAGACTGTTGGTTGCAAGTGAATTATCATCACTAGCTTTGCAGAATTTAGGTTATTAAACTCCGAGTCATGTAAGGTTTTATAACACGGCAACATTCCACATGAGATTACCATTGGCCAGAGCATGCCGTACCAATTTACAAAGTTGCCTCCTTTTAGTCTCGCTAGTTACCACATTAAACAGTATAGGGAACATTGTCCTCAGCAGAGAGTACCTCATTGAACAAGGTTCAACATTGAGCTCATCATTGTAATCATTTGATAATTAGTATTGACTAGGATATTTTATCATGTGAACTTTACCCAAGATTTTCCAATGTTCGATCAAATAACTATACTAATTTAAGTTTCAACATTGCACTGTGTATCATGCCTCCAACTAAGAGGAGGTTAGATTTACACAAGGGGCTTCTTTTTTATTAAATTGACACAGTTTTAACTAGTAAGAGGATTGGTGCTTGGCTGATTTAGTGATCTTTTATGCATTATAAAGGCCTTTTGGATTGACTTATTCTTTTAAGACTTATGTAAAATGCAAGGTTTATTACAACCCATTCATTGATTTGATGGTTAGTACTTCTATCATTCTTTATGAGTGTGTAAGTTTGACCTCTTGGCTATGCACCCATTGTCATAGGAGAAAAGTTCAGAAAAAAGGGTGCAAGTTCTATCAATTGGCAAGTGATGTTATGGTTATATTGGGAAGAAATCTAGAAATATTATAGAATTCATTTACAAATACATGCTTAACCTAACTAGGAGAATCTGTAAATTATATTAGGATGAAAAAGAAATTATCTACGTGAAATTAGAACGATACGGTAATTTCATCAATTTTCTTGAAATTTCAATTCTATTTGGAATTTCATATGGACTCAGTTTTTCTTATTTTAGATAGAATTATCATTGTTTTTACATTAAAAAAATACGGAGTTAAGAAATAGATTTCACACAAAAATTATGGATTTGTTCCAAACACTACCTATAGTAAAAAGTCTTGGTTAAGTTAGCTTATCTTTTGAAAATTAATATTTTTCTTGTAAACCAAAAACATACTAACCTAAGATCATGTTCAAAAAATTCCATAAACATTGTATAATTTATTTGTAAATATATATCTAATCTATCTACACCTGTACTAGGATGACAAAAATTGATTTGTAGGAAATTTCATGTGGAATTGAAATATTGCATTCCAAATTCAATCAATTTTGGTAGAATTTGGAATATATTTCTTCGAATTCACCAAGAATTTAAAATAAAACTTTTTTTAAAAACTATTTTAATGATCATCTTCACTATTTTCTTTTTGAGTAAGTATTAATTTGCAAATGAATTTCTTATAAATTTAGTATTTGTCCCAAACATAGTGTAAAAAAAGTTACTAAATATTTATATGGTTTTTCCTCAGAAAAGTTTACTGGTTTAGTTTTCTCTCAAATCTCACTAAACCATGTATATTATGGGACTCATTGGTTCAATGGATACTTGTTATTGAAATTTGCTGTTCTGTTCACCCATTTTTCTTCTACAGGAGCTGTCAGAAAACTCGGCTGGAACCAATCTGGCATGTCTCAGACTAGAGTAGCTCGCACTGTTGCTGCTAAGGATGTTATTGCTGTTCTGGAAAGGGAACCACAGATGTGTAAGTCTACACTGATGTATCGCTTGTGTGAGAAGATTCGTTCCGAAGCTGTGTCCAAATAATCTGTTTGATATTGCATTTTTTTGAGAGAAGCCTTACATATATATAGTTGCTTCCATAGAAAAGAAAAAAATATTCTACTGCTCTTCTGTTTTTAATATCTGTAGATTGCAATTATGGATCTGATTGTAACCAAGAATTGTCACGGGGCAAGAAAATCAGGGAACGTTTAGTTTATAAAAATACTTTTTAGTCTTAGTTTTTTTATATATGTATATCTATATACATAAGACAATATGTGGTAGTTAGAAGAAAACAATGTTTGAAAATAAATGTCAAAATTCAATGCCTTTCAGAGTCAAAAAAATAGTTATTTTAAGTGTTTTCTAAAGAATTAGTTTTTGGAATGATGAGTGGGTGGGAGAATTCAAGCTGAAAGACTGGTTTCGAAGAATATACGCTATTGCCTGTGATAAGGATATCATGGTGGAGAAGGTGTATGGGACAGATGGAGGGGGTAGGGACTGGAGTGTTTGGGTAAAAAGAAATTTGAAGGATTAGGAAGTGGATGAATACAGCAACTTGCTCCTTTGTCTGGTTGACATTAACCTGGCTGATCATAAAGATAAAAGGGTGTAGAAACTGGATAAGTAGAGAGGTTTTTCTGTGAAATTATTTTATAATTATTTATTCAAGAGAGATGGAGAAGGAATGGCAGCACTGTTTAAGCAGATATGGAAGTCCAAAGCTCCCCCTAGAATGGTTTTCTTTGTTTGTGAAGCTTCAAGAGAATGTGTTTTGACTCTTGACATGTTCAGGAAGAGAGGTAACATTTTGGTAAATAGGTGCTATTTGTGTAAAGCTGATGATGAATCCTGTAAGCACATATTACTTGGGTGCCCGCCGGTGTAGAGCATTTGGTCTACTGTTATAGGCTTATGGGGTTGGATTGGGCTATATGACGGGGACAGTGAATAAAGAATTGTGGGCGTAGGTGGGAATATGTAAAAACAAAAGGCATTTATTTCTAGTTTCCCTTATCATTTTTTGATTAGTGCAGAAGGAAAGAAATGTAAGAGTTTTTAAGGGAATAAAAACTAACTTTGTTAACGTTGGAGATAGACGGAATTACACGTTTGGTTTTATTTTATTGGGTCATGACATTAAAAATTTGAAAAAATGTAGGTATTGTCATTAACCACTTGATTGATTTATAATTATTTTGTATACAAGTAGTATTCTTTTGGTGCTTATATTTCTAATAATACCATACTTCACTTTTATTTTTTATTTTTTAAATATTTTCTAAAGAGTTTTTTAGGGTTGTTTAACTACCCTGTACACACTGTAACACATACTTTGTGTTTAAACATACATGAGTTTCAAAAGCTAGTGAAAATTAGTCTTTGAAGTATTAGCATTTAGATTTATACCTAGCCAACGAAGAAGCAGAGTGGAGAAGCCGGATAAGTATGGCAAAGTACAATTAGCTAGTAGGCGTACTCAACTCTAGAGACAGTGCAGATGTGATGAGTAGCTAAGAGCCAACTGGCTTGAGACAGTTAGATATGTCCTAGCCCAAATCATTTAGCTTGTGCTTATGACTAATCAAGTTAACTTCTACCTTGCCAACTCTCGAGATAGTGCAGAAAGTTGATGAGTAGGTAGGAACCAATGGGTTTGAGACAGTCAGGTATGTGCTTGCCCAAATCATGTAGCTTCTGCTTATGACTAATCAAGTTGATTTTTACCTAACCAACTCTTGAGTAGGTAGGAAGCAATTGGTTTGAGACAGTCAAATGTGTGCTTGTCTAAATCATTTAGCCTGTGCTTATGTCTAAAAAAAAGTGATGGGATATTCCGGGTAGACAATTCAAGATTACAGCAAGTTTTAAAAAGAAAATTTTATAAAGACTTTTGTATGTTTAACAATTTTTTATTTATAATTTCAAGTTTTTAGATTTTCTTTTTTACTTTTTTCTTTGGACAAATTCTTTTTATGAAAATATTTGTTTCCTGATAAAATCATTTTAATGAAATAATCAAAGGATATGTTATAACAAATAAATTCTAGTTTCATGTTATATTTTATTTTTATTTTTAAACATTTTTATTTAACTATCACTTATATTTTTTGATATGAGATTTTTGGACATTAAAAGTAATATATTTTAATATATTAAAAATATTATTTGTATTAAAATTTGACGTATTTAATATATTTAGAATTGGTTATTTTGAAATATCTAAATATTGCTTACAAAATATCTCACCCTTCATAATTCATAGATAAACATTCATTTCTATATCTCAAATCTAAAAAAGATAGCAAAATTAAATTTAATTTGTGGAAAATTATTTCTGCTCTCTTTTCCTTTTTGAATATAAACGGTATAAACATATTTTATTTAAATTTTGTATAAATTTAATGCATTTTAGTGTGATTGACGCGTAGAGATAATGTGGCAAATGTGTTTATTTTAGCAATTCATTAATTGAAAAACTAATTTAAAATAAAAATTAAGTTTAAGACAATTAATTACTTTTCTTTATTAAAAAAAAAAAAAAGGAAAAGAAAACGAAATCCTAGTTGGCAACTCATGCTTGAACTGAACTGAACTGCCTCAGTGGCCATCCGCCTTTTTTTCCATATTACTCCTTGCTCTATATCTCTAAAAATCATCACTGTCGTCACCACCGAGGTCGTTGGTCTCGCGAAGATCTCCGTGATTTTTCTTCCTTGGCCATGTCAAGGGCTCGAGTCTACGCCGATGTCAACGTTCATCGACCCAGGGACTACTGGGACTACGAGTCTCTCACCGTCCAATGGGGGTAAGCTACAAAAAGGAAACAGAAACGGAAATAAAACAGTTTAAAACCCTAATTTTAACGGCGTTATAGCTCGACAAGTGTTATCTTATTCTTCATCACAATCTGGATTCTCATGATAAAATTGTTAATTCGATCTCAGTAACTGCGATTGGATATTTCTTCAAGTTCCGTTCGGCGGAGTTTTCACAGTTTCCTGTTGTTTTTTCTTTTCTTCCTTTTTCTTTGTTCGCTCTTTCCTTTTGCTGTTTTGTGTTCAGTGATCAAGATGACTATGAGGTTGTTCGAAAAGTCGGGAGGGGAAAATACAGTGAGGTATTTGAAGGTATTAACGTGACTAACAATGAGAAATGTATCATTAAGATACTTAAACCTGTCAAGAAAAAGAAGGTGATTATTTTTTTCCACTGTCACTGTAAACTGTGTTTTGAATTGGAATCTTACTTTTTATGCTTAAAAATTTATAAAGTATGCGTTACATACACATCTTTGTAGTGTTTATTGATTACTTGAAATTGGTCAGGTCGACTTATATATTGTTATTCATGACTTCATACAGATTAAAAGGGAAATAAAAATACTACAGAATCTTTGTGGAGGCCCAAATATTGTAAAGCTGCTTGATGTGGTCAGAGATCAACATTCAAAGACTCCTAGTTTGGTTTTTGAATATGTCAACAGTACAGATTTTAAAGTTTTGTACCCGACATTGACAGATTATGACATACGATATTACATATACGAGCTTCTTAAGGTACACTTACAATCATATTGCAACAACCTGGTTGTTGCCACCTGTTCTTTTTGGAATATAGCATACCTGCTTAAATATTCAAGAAGAATATGATTTTAGGGCATGATATGTAATTGTAATTGGACATGAAACTTTTATTTGAAAAGGACATTGAAATTTTGATAGTTGCCTTATTGGAATATGCTCATGAATACTGTTGTCACCCGATTCTCAGGTTAAATTAACTAAATGGGAAATGGAAACTTAGGTGGCCTCCTCTTTTGGCTTCTCTTTTATATATTTTTTTATCACTAACATGGATTCCATCATTCACCCTCTGGCTATGTTCATGGGTGGATGCCTTGTGAATGATTTTATTCTCCATTAAAAAATTAATAAATGTTTTTTTCAGAAAAATATACCTGGTGAAGGACACAGTCTTTGAATTATTGAGCAGTATGTGCTGATACTATAGACATGCCACAATCTTTAAAAAGAAATTAGTAATTGTCTTTTCAGAAAAATATAGACAAGCCACAATAAAAGCTAGTCGCAATAATGTGAATTGAGGTAGCAACAGATGAAGGGGCTGAGTTCCTCTTGGATCATTGCTTTATGACTTGTTCCCTGGAACTACTTATCTGTGAATATCTGTGTTCAATTCTTGTTATTCCTTCTCTCTGTTATTTATGCATTAGTTCGGTGAAAGTAATTGTTGTGTGTTTATTTAACTTATGTGTTTTTGTAATCAGGCCCTAGATTATTGCCATTCCCAAGGAATAATGCACAGAGATGTCAAACCTCACAATGTTATGATTGATCATGAGCTACGGAAACTTCGCTTGATCGACTGGGGTCTTGCTGAATTTTACCATCCCAATAAAGAATACAATGTTCGAGTTGCTTCAAGGTATTTATGTGCTTTGTGATTTCTCTAAATAGCAAATGCATTTTCTTTTATGGTAATTGTAAATCCAAATATAATCTAATTGAGGGGCCTGTTAAATGCAAATTTTTTTCTTCTTTCAGCATAATTCCTGATTTGTTTCTGTATCTTGGTGAAATAGATTTACTGAAGTGCTTGTCTACTTATGTTCAACCTGTGTTTCCTTCACTCTGTTCGTGTTTGCTTACTAAATTTTCATTAATGTGTCATTTTCCAAGGCCTGTGGACAATAGCTATTTTATTAGATATGATTGGCATAGTTTACCTTTTTTTCCATGCTTTTCTGTTATTTATTTGTATTTTCCAATATGAGGGGTTGATGCATCATACAAAATTCAAGGTGGTTTGGTTGAGTCTGCCACCAACAGGCTAGTTGGAACTGACAATGACCTATCCTGTTCATCCTTCTTCAAATTCACCTTCATCATTGATATGCTAAAATGAGAAAGACATGCTTATAATTCATTATTTGTTCCTTAACATTATGTTTTGATTTAAGATCAGTATGTAAAAGATTAGAGACTGGAGACTGTTGAAACAAGCTATAATTGATGTACCATTCATGCGTGTGATATATGATGTTATGCTGAATTCTAATGCTATGTATAATTCCTTATTAACTCTATCCGTCTCTCTATTTCATGCATACACACAGAAGGCTGCAATCATGATATAGCAGTAGTATTCTTAAGTTTTAAGCCTGACAGCATCTTTAATGTCTAATAGTAGTGGTTGTAGGTTGTAGCATGGTTCTAAATTAATTTTGAGATTTGATAGGAAGGAAAGTTTGCTTAGGTGGCTTATGGTTATTTTAACTGCTAACATGAAGAACTTATCCAAGTTCTCCTACCCATGCAAAAAACTGAGACTTTTCTTAATTGATTTTAGGTACTTCAAGGGTCCTGAACTCCTTGTTGATTTACAAGACTATGACTATTCCTTAGATATGTGGAGCCTGGGTTGTATGTTCGCGGGAATGGTAATCATTATGCTGGGATTGCAATTGTCACTACAAAATGTTGTATGTCTACCTTGATAAATTGGCACGATGTTCTTTAATCCTTGCAGATTTTTCGAAAGGAGCCATTCTTTTATGGCCATGACAATCATGACCAGCTTGTCAAAATTGCCAAGGTAATTTTAGATGCATGTTTGGGAATAATTTTGAAGTTCTAGGCAACAATAAACTGCTGTAGTATTTACCCAAGAACAAACAAAAGGTCTTCCTTCTCTATCTTTCCTCCACTCTTTTCTTGTCCCTTCTAGAGTAATCTGAAAGGAAATAATGTTTTATAGTTTTCAAAAAGGAAAAATGTCACGTTACACCTGATCAACAATGAGGCTTTTCATTCAAATGCCTGTGATGGATGATGCACCTGATTTTTAGTATTTTCTTGATTGCTAAATGTTCAGTTATCATCTCTTGCATATTATCTACTGACTAGACCATTTTCAAGACCTTGCCCAAGCATAGACCTAGCTTATTTCGAACTCCAGATGTTAATTACCTTTCTAATAAAGTTTACCTTATTTTCTTAAAAGAAAAATTAACCTTTTCCTCATAGATTGTTAAATGTTACCATTGGATTTTTTTTATAAGGCACACTAATGTGACAAATGATTGAATTACATTATCTTCTGATAATTAGTATCTATTTGTGTATATTCAGATTGTAGGTTCAGAGTTTTCAATCTGAAAAAATGACTGCAGGGGTTTTACCTCTTAGGAGAGTAAGGAAGTGAAAGTGCAAGGATCATGTATTAAATTTCCGGCCATTAGATAATCGAAGTCTGTAAGGATGCTAACAGTGGGCAACAATTCATAATAGTCCAGAAAATGGTCTCAGGCACATCAGTACTTCATGCTATTAGGCCAATATGTAATTTCTTTTGATAATCTTGTGTCATTGGTGCTTCCTTGATTTGTATCCCTTAAATGGTTGACACTTTGGACTGTGGAATGCTATAATGCAAGCAATGAGTTAGATGGATGCTGAAAATTATTTCTCTCTCTTGTATATGGATGGCATACTCTTGGTGCCCATTTAATTTCTCTTTTTTCTCAAAATACATTTTTCTTTCTTGATGTGAGCATCATTCTCTGGGTTCAGAAAAACAGGCTTCTCATCTTTCCGTGCAAGTTTTGTTTAGGAGCTACAACAAGATTTCAGAAATTGTCAAAATTATTTATTTTCAGAACACCTTAACTGCTCTCGTGATTTGTATCTTACAGTGACTCCATATTTTCTTCAGGTTCTTGGGACAGATGAGTTAAATGCATACTTGAATAAATATCACTTAGAGCTGGATCCCCAGCTTGATGCCCTTGTTGGAAGGTATACCTAAATCGAAATTTCCTTTTCTGCCTTGATTTCACAATGTATTAAGTCTCGAAATTGTTGTTACCCTAAGGATAACCCTTAACAACATAATGGATATGCGACTTACATATATTAGTGGTAACATTAAAATTGCTGTTAGGGAACAAATTAATCTTATCCTCCCAACTTTTACTTTGTATTATTTCCTTATTGAACAAGCTCTTCACTGATTTAATATTCTTCTGTATCACACTGATCTGTAGTATTTATACACCTATTACAGGCATAGTAGGAAGCCATGGTCCAGATTTATTAATGCAGATAACCAGCACCTTGTTTCCCCAGAGGTCACTGATTGTGCTGTTTTTTTTAGTTCTTCATATTATTGACTTCTAAAGAGTTATTAGTTCTTTTTTTCTGTACTTCTGTTGATTCTTTCATTTTGCTTTTATGGCATACAGGCTATCGATTTTCTGGATAAGCTTCTACGTTACGATCATCAAGACAGACTTACAGCTAAGGAGGCAATGGTATCTTTCTTAGGATTTTACTGATATTTCCCTTAATCAATTTTCTTCCCTTTTTGCTTGCTATGGATTGCCTCCCTATTGTGGAACCTGGAAAGAGAAACTGAGTATGCTTCCTACTTGATGACCTAGCACCCTCCTGACATATTATCTTGATTCTTTTTTCAACCCATTTCTGAGTATCCATGCACGAAATTCCTCTCTTATGCGTTTTATTTTCTTCTTATTTCACATTTCTTTGCCTGCATTGGTAGGATTGATTGATTCTTGTGTACCTCTCTGTTCCCTCCAGGATCATGTAAATGAAAGCATTAAATGTACATATATAAACTAAAATTTTACTCTGCTTTTTACTGCTCGATATTGAACATAGGCATATAGTTTTTAGATGTCTTGCTTTAAACTTTTTTCCTGATGTTCTAGTATTTTCCTTATTCATGTAAGAAATATGGTGGAAGGTGATTCCTTACGTGTTTTCGCTTTCAAAATACCTCACTTCGTTAAAATTTTACAGCAGTATGATATATGGCTAGTATTTTGATCTCAATGAATTTGACAACTCATTGCATGGTTTTAGCATGTTTTTTGGCAGCAGCATCAAGAATCTTTTGCTTGGTTCTTTGTTTACCATCAAGGAAAGAGACCAAAAATATTTCCATTCATTCTCCCCTGTTTCCCGGATTAATTTAGCTCTTTTTCATGTTAAGGAAATTTATTTTTGTCCCAGGCTCATTCGTACTTCTTCCAAGTGAGATCTGCGGAGAACAATCGAATGCGGACCTAATGGTCCTAGAAGAGTAGAAGTGTACTGCCCTAGCATATGTATGGATTCTGTTTTCTGCTAGTCCTGATTTAAGTCATTGGTCATATTCATAATCTTGCACTTGTTTAACTTCCTATTCAGAGTGTATATTTGTATTTGTTACTCTATCTTCTTCAATCATGTCTTGTATTTGAATTTTGTTCCTAATATTGTTAATTAACCTACTATTCTATGAAGGAAATATCATATACAATGGGAATGTGATAGACTTGGTATTTCAATCCTTTACTAGTAATATACATACATTATTTATGAATTTTATTGGTGAAATCAGTTTTCTCCTTCATTAATTAAAAACACAAGAAATATCACGGTGGCGCACAATTGCTGCCCAAAATAATTTCACTTAAATTTTCATTTAGCATCAATATTAAGCCCCTTCTTGGTCCAATGAGAGGCAAGTGCTATTTATACTGGAAACATAAGCTAGGAGATTCATGAGTATAAATGATGTAGTATTCTTTTTGTTCATTAGTAGTGTATCCATAATTCGCCTGTATTGACAAACGCAATTTTTTTGTTCCTGTTCTCTTAATCTACGTTGATTAGCTTTGATCTAAGAGTACTTAGTGGTCTTCTGCTGTTGATTTTTATGTATAAGTTATGCTTAGCTCTGATTTAAGATTACTTACCTGCCCACTAAATTCCATGAGAAAAGAGTTCTGATAAAAAAGAAACAATTAGGAGTTAGACAGGACCATGTGATCATAATTTATAAACATAGTAGTAGTTGACACGGTATTTGACATGTTCCACAAGGTTTCAATTTCAAATCAGTTGGAACTTGAAACCCTAGAAATTGGAAAGATTGTTGCTGAAATCACCACACATATTAAGATACTAGGGGATGGAAGATGAGGTTCCTAAATTTAGGATATTAAACTTATTTCTTGAGATGGGGGAAACATGCATAAACATCGGATTTAGGGTGCTTCGCTTCAGCATGTTCCCTGCATTTTACCTCTGATGTGGTGCATATGAAGGTCTGCATACACACTTTGCACTGCACTCAACGTTGAACATTAAATCAGATTCGAAATAAAACAAAATTAGATCTTATAATCATTCCTCCTATCTAATTCATGTATTATTATATGAGATTCTTTTTGAATAACATTATAGAATATATGAAGTTTTAAACCCTAGATTCTAGTCCTTCAAATCATTACCTGGATTGTCATGGCTTTCTTGTTTGATTCCAGCTGGCTTCCTACAAATTATAGAGATTGGATCATAAATGTCATAGTTTCAGTCAAAAACTACATTAAGAAACATTGCACCCAATAAAAACCTCTATAGAAAAATATGTCAAGATTTCCTTACAGCTTACTTGGATTTCATTTTCTTCCTTATTATTTTATGATTTAGTTATTAAATTAGTCTTAATATGAAAATTATAATATAGTTTTTATATTTGAATTGCTTGCAGTCTAACTTTAAGTTCTTGGTGTAGAAAATTTTTATTCTCTGAGAGAAATGAAAACTGAAAATTTCACCCTACAAAATACCCAGTTTGGAGCAGAGAAAACTGAAACATAAAGATAATATTACGATTGATTTTAGGACTAACAAAAATTCTAAGTAGTAATTAAGTAAGAATAGTTAAACAAAAAAGAACCAGTTTGTTTATGTTCATTAATTTAATAAAACCCAAATTAACTTACAACCAACTCAGCTTTGCCCTACAAATTAACTAAAACTACATGAGGGTAACTTTCGTTTTTTATTTAAACACAAGATCTAATCTCTTGCCTTCCACTAGAATATTTCTACCCTTTCGGCAAGAGAGAGAGAGAGAGATGAAGTTATACCCTTAGCAGTTTTATTCTTCTCCATGTTCCTTTCGCGAGCCATCTTTGATTTCTGGCCGTTGCCTCCTCCCATTATTTCCTTTCTTCTTCCTGATCTTGACTAGCAGATTAAGAGTGACAAGGAGAAATATGTGGAGCCTGCAGAGCAAAGCACAACTAGTTTTGGACTTCTGCTATGTATATATATGCATTAAAACTGATGATGACTTGGGGCAGATATATATATATATATATATATATTATTACATATGCAGTGGAACCCAGCTTGTATCGTATTCTTAGAAGGAAAGGTAAGTCAAAAACCATTGACTGCTCCCCGAGGAAAAATGCCATTTTTCCCCAAGTGCACTGTGAAAATCAACAGCCAGAGAATTGACATTGACCTAAACAATCTCAGTGGCTAGATGCTTGATTTTGTCCCGTCGGCTTTGTGGGTATAGGCTAAACACCTACCCAGAAGCTTCCCTCATGATAACATATGGACTCGATTTTAATATAAAATTATTTTCAAGAAATTAATTAGGACACAGTATGAATCCGGGTGTATAAACAATTATTGTTTATAAAAACAAATCTATTACAACCATTGAAATATATTTTATTTTTGACCTAAAACATTTGGCTTTTTACCCATAAAATTTAGTAACTCATTTAGTGACTTGTGGTGTGTGAATAAATGAAAAACTAATACCTATAATAGGGCCATTACTAGATTTTTCATGCATGAATTTTTTTTTTTTGTTTGGATATGGAATGTTTTAGTATTTAAAAATTATAAATTTTAATTTTATTAAAAATATTAATTATTATTTTATAAATATATTATAGATCGATAATATCTAATTACTTATTTTGTATGTATATTATATACTAATATTTGTCAGTTTATAGTATTTAATTAAGTAGAATTAAATATTAAATTAAAAATCTTAACTTATTTTATTATATTTTTAGGTGAAATAAATATTTAATTTATTAATGCAATAATAAAATTAATTAGATTAAATTTTAATTATTGACGTAATATTTTTTACAATAATTGCAGTTAAATTTTAGTTAATTTATTATATTTTGAAATAAAACAAATATTATACAGTAATTAAATTATCAATTAAAGAAATATACATGCAATCATCACGATACACGTGACGTTTTTAGGTAGAAGAATGCAATAAGTAATTGTGGAGTTGAAGTATTAGTGCTTTAAAACATTACACAGCTGGATCTCACTCGTCTTTTCCATTAATTATTACCGCCCAAAGCGGTGGACCCAACCAATTTTCTTTTTTTAAAAAAATCAAATTTAGCCTTTATACATATATATATGAAATTATTTCTTTTTAACTTTTTTAAAAAATGGAAATTATCCTCCTCCCTAATTAGTATGTATTTTTTAGAAATTACAGTACAAATATAAATAATTTTTAAATAATATTTTTTTACTTTTATTATTGAATATCTTACATTAAATTTTTAAAAATAATATTTTCCATGTGGTAAACTGATCCCTCTGCTTGGATTGTCTATTGGGGTCGTTGTTAGATGGCAGTTTGGGATCTTCCAACATTAAATTGCATATTGCTTTATTTCTTTAGAGTGAGGACCCAAGCTTTTTTAAGACCATATATGTGTATATTAAATATACATATATATATATATATATTATATTTGGGTCAAGAATGTGTGCCCATAACGAGAATGTATACCTAATAATTGTTATTTTTAAACATTATCTTAAATAGATAAGGCATTTTAAGACTAACTAAAGAAAAATCGAAGTTATTTAAGATAAACAATTAAATTTCCAGGGTGGAAATTTTATATATTATATTTAGGTTAAGTGCGTGTCCATAATAAGAATGCATACCTAATAATTGTTCTTTTCATACATTATCTTAAGTAAATTAAATATTTTAAAGATAATTATAGTAAAACCAACTAATTTTATCCCATAGGTAATTTAAGATAAACAATCAAATTCCGAATTTTACTCGATTATTACCATGGAAATCTACATATATTATATATAATATTTGGGTCAAATAGGTGTGTCAATAATGAAAATACAACCGAATAATTGTTATTTTTTAACATTATCTTAAATACATTAAATACTTTAATGATAACCAAAGAAAATCCGATTAATTTTTCCCTCAAGTAATTTCAGATAAATAAACAAATTTCGAATTTTACCATATATTACATTACGTTGTACTCAAAAGTTGAAGAGAAAAAAAAAAAGCATGATTATCACACCAAATCCTAAGCTTCATTTGTTTCTGGCTCAATCGAAGGGCGTCCGTGAGAGGAACACATGAATACCACTAGACACGCCCACACTGGAAAACCTCACCCTCACCTGCGGTTGCTTCCTCCGAAGGCGTGGGCACCTGAGAAAAAAAAAAAAAAAAAAGAAAACAGAGGAAAACAAAAAGAAGCATAAGAAAACAGAGCTGCAAGAGAAAGAAGAGAGAAACAAGTCAGAGAAATCAAAAGCAAACAGAGATATTTGGCACGCGTGAGGAAGACGACAAGCAAGCTACTGAATCCCGGAGCCCTGCACGCCAAGACCTGCGATTTGTCACCAATCAACCCGCGCTGTGAAGACGTTGCAGAGACGCTGAGAGAGAGAGAGAGAGAGAGAAGAAGCAGATGAAACAACAGAGGAGATAGAGAAGTCGTTCGGAGAAGAAGACGAGAGAGAGAATTTCACAAATGGGAGGGACTAGGTGAAGGCAGAACTGTGGGGAAAGCCAATATTAGGTGAAGAGAAGAAGAAGAAGAAGAAGAAGAAGAAGATAGCTTAGGAAGAGAGAGGAAACGAAGTGAGAGGAGAGAGATAAATTCATTCAAATCCAGGAAAAACTCAAAGCTCAAAGCTCATAGGAGAAGAAGACGGTATTTTCACCTTAATTTTTCACATACTCATTTTAATTTAAAAGGAAAATTAAAGGAATATTATATATGTATATAAAAACTTATATTAAATTATTGTTTTAGAATTTATAATTTTATATTATCATATATTAAGAATGAATAACAAAAATATATAATTGAAATTCTATATGCATTTGACTTGAAATTGTCATATTATTTTTTTATTTGAATTTTTATTCAATTTATGTTGTATTTTATTTTTATTTTATAAATTAAAAGTTGAAATAAATTTAACTTGAGAGTAATATAATACCTACATATTTTTTTTTTAATTTTCAATAAAAGTTAAATTTTAAATTTGTGAATTTTTATGAATTTTTGTTGTTAAAAATAATTATTTGTACTTGTTGAAATTTAAAAACAATCAACTTCATTTTCCAATGTTCACTCATTAATCATTTAATCAAATTAAACCGTTAAATTTAACAAACCTAAGCGACATTTTCAATTACAACAGTAATGTTGGTAGGCTTTATGTCATTCCACACCCACTCTATTTAAGTGCATAACTCCTTCTAATTTAATCCCATTGCATTCTTTATAACGGATCCGAACTTAAAAAAAAAAAGTTATAAATTAAATGCGGAAACGAAATAGTTCAAAATACTTAATAGAGATACGAGAATGACACTTCTAAAATAACAACGAAAAATTAAAGAAATAAATGAAAAGTAAACAACTAGACATCATATTCGCAACATTCTTGTAGATCGGGATCTGGATCTTGGTCATGTCGATCTGAAATGGTTAATGAAAGAGTGAGTTACACTACCCCAGTAAGAATGTCACACTATTCACCGATACAGAAATAAAAGTTGGTAAAAATCATGAAAACAACTAATGGAACTCTTAATTTAAGTAAATTCATTTATTATAAATAAAATCATTTATTATATACTCACCGTAATGAAATTTTCAAAATTGACCTATAGAACCAATAATACAACCAATATCATAATCTCATATTCAATTAACTATAATAACAACTTTTCATTTTTATTTGCCTACTAGTATTCATTAGAATCTATAGGGATGTCCCTACTACGCGTGAACCTTTATTCAACATTATCAACTAACTAGTCGTTCTCATACCCCATCCGATATGAGCACCGAAAATACAATATCTTAATACCCCGATTGGTATGAGGGTGAAACGAGTCACCCCATACCCCGTCCAGTAGAAGTGCCTGAATACCAATCCTTGATACTCCGTCTAGTATGATGCAACGTTCACGGTAGAGTTTTCTATGCACCCGATCCATCCACCATATCTCAGGATATCCAGTAAGGCTACCATTCACTCATTCATTTAATCAAATAATTTTTCGTATACATTTAATTTTCAGTTTCACAATTTAACTGTAAATCACGCAAAATAAGCAATACATGCATCAAGAAAACACAACTGAATCATCTTACCAACTCCAGCAGATTATCATACATTTAAAATTATAAAATCAATCAATCAGTTAAAACAGGATAAACAGTTATAAATAACTGGTTCTGCCTCCATTAGTAACCTGTGATTAATTATCGAAAATTTTTAAATTGTAGAAAAGACTACAATATTTATAATTAAACTTTAATTCCATAACAAGAAATACGGTAAGAGATTCTTACCCGAATCGGCGTCCGAATGCTAAACTTTCAGTTGTGCCTACTAACGGTCCTCGAGTCATATGAATTTTTATTTGGAGATTAAAACACGCTTCAAGTACCTAAAAATACCCCAAAAAATCATAAATCGATGTTAAAACACTTTTTCGGCCAATTTTAGAATTTCGGTACGGTGGCACCGCCGTGCTCCGGCGACTGCTGCCTGCGGCAGCGATTTACCTCGGACTGGCTATTTTCGGCTGATTTTATACTCATCCCTACGATAAAACACGTTAAGGGGTCTCGGTTGGCTGAAAAAAGACGAAAAATAGAAGCTTACCGGCGACAGAGCTTTTCGGTGCGACAGCTATGTCGGCTCACCTTCGTGGTTGGACATTTTTCTTCAGTCAACCTGTAAGAAACAGAATGGTGAATACAATGGTGAAAAAATCGCATGAAAAGGGAATCGAAAAGTGCCTCATCGGTGGAAATTTTTAATTTTTTTTGCAACGGCGCCACCGGGCTTTACCCACAGTTTTGGGCTCATTCGCCGGTCTTTTTGCTCTGATTTGGCACTGGGGTATTCAAAATCAAAATTTGAGCGGATGAGAAAATTTTTACCTTTTTTGGCAGTTAGAGGTGGTTCCAACACGGCGGCTAGGGTTAGGGTTCGATGTGAAGTGATATATTTATACTCATCTCCCTTTAATCTGGGTCGTCCATCGCGTTGGATCTCGACCATCCAATCGTGTTTAAAGAAAAAATGAATCTGGACTGTTTATCGCGATTTGATCTGGACCGTATGATCATATTTAAAGAGGAAACGGATCTAGACCGTCACGTGCACGGGAAAAAATCCAAACCGTTCGATTGCGGCCACGCAGATTGCCAACGTGGCCCCCCCTCGCATGGCACCGAATCAACGTGCCTTACCACGCGGCGTGCTCTGGTTTGTCAGGGCTGCTGACTGGGTGATCCTACGTGGCATATTTTTCTTAAATTTTTATTTTGACCCCTAATTTCTGATTTTTCTTTCAAAAATACCTCCATAACCCAAAATTTCACCCATTTTTCCCAAAATTATTTTCAATTTTGTTATCCATCTATTTTTTCTAATTTTTACATTAAATAAAAATTCATAAATTTAAAAATTATATTTTATATTTTAATTTTAAATTTTTTAAAATTAATTGTGGGTATTACAACTCTTCCCTCCTTAAAAGAAATTTGGTTCCTCAAATTTGTCTCTCTCTCACTCAATCAAACAGTTGGAGATATTGGGCTCTAAAGTCTGATTTTAGCTCCCATGTGGCCTCTCCCTGTGTGTAATTTTGCTATATGACCTTAACGATGAGAATTTTTCAGTTGCGGAGTACTTTACACTTTTGGTCTACAATACCGACCGGTACCTCCTCGTAGGACAGATACTCCTGGAGTGAAAGGAATTGGTGAACCAAGACGTGATAGGGGTCCAGGTTGTACTTGTGTAGCATGGATATATGAAACATGTTATGGATCCTAGATAGTTCTAGAGGTAGTGCCAATCTGTAGGCGGCGGTGTCAATTCTGTCTAAAATTTTAAATGACCCAATAAACTGGGGATTTAGTTTTTCTCTCTTGCCAAATCTACTGATTCTCTTGAAAGGAGTGATCTTAACGAACACTCGATCACCTTTTTTAAATTCCAAATCCATGCTCCGAGTATCCGCATAATTCTTCTGTATCTTATGAATCGTTTGGATGTTCTTTCTGATCTTAACTATTTTGACTATCGTCTCCTCCACCAGATCTAGATCGAACAATTTTCTATCTCCCACCTCTTCCCAACAGATCAGTGATCTGCATGGACGGCCATATAACGCATCGTACGGAGCCATGCCAATACTTGCTTGGTAGTTGTTATTGTAGGCGAACTCTATTAAGGTAAATGATCATCCCAATGGTCACTGAAGTCAAGAACACAAGCTCAGAGCATATCCTCCAGTATGCGAATTGTCTTTTCTAATTGTCAGTCAGTTCGAGGGTAGAATGCGGTACTAAGGAATAGTTTTGTTCCTATGCCTTACTGAAAACTAAACCAGAACTGAGAAGTGAATCTGGGATTCCTGTCGGACATTACTGTCACTAGCACTCCATGTAACTAGACTATCTCCTAGATATATATTCTTACTAACTTGTTCAGGGAGTTGGTCATCTTGATGGCCAAGAAGTGGAAAGACTTGGTGAGTCTGTCAACAATTATCCAAATGACATCATGTCCCGAGCGTGCTCTAGGCAATCCTGTCACAAAATCCATTGTGATGTGTTCCCACTTTCACTCCGGAATTGGTAACGGCTGAAGTATCCTGCCCGAGCATTGATGCTCTACCTTGACTTATTGACATACCAAGCATTTAGAAACAAAGTCAGTCACATCCCTTTTCATCTCATTGCACCAAAATCGGGATCGCATACTTTGATACATCTTAGTACTTTCGGGATGCATGACAAACTTTGAACTATGGGCCTCAATCATGATGTCCCTTTTCAGCTCACTATCACATGGAACACACACCCTATCCTGAAATCTGAGCAATCCATTGGCAGAGACTCAAAATTATGAATTAACTCTTTGTTCTGCATATTTTTTGAGGGCTACTAAGGTGCAATTGGCATATTGAGCTTCCTTTATTCTCTGCATCAACTCAGGCTGAATAGTCAGGTGAGTCAAGTATGTGACTCTCTTTAGGTCTTGAAGTTGTACCTGTTGTGTGGCTCCTATTGTCCTGTATTATGAAACCATTAGGTGAGCTAATATACTTGTACTTTTTCTGCTGAGTGCGTCGGCTACCACGTTGCCCTTAATAAAGTGATATAAGATATTGCAATTGTAGTTCTTGAGGAGTTCTATCCATATTCTCTTACACATATTGAGATCTTTTTGAGTGAAATATGTGTTTCAAGCTTTTATGGTCGATATAGATCTGAAAGGTCTCCCCATACAAGTAATGGCCCAAAATCTTTAAGACGTGGATAATCGCGACAAGTTCTAAGTCATGGGTGGGGTAGTTTTTATCATGACTCTTCAACTATGTGCAATCATAGGCTATGACATTTTCATATTACATCAGAACACAACCCAACCCCAAGTAGGAGGCATCACTATAAACTGTATATCTACCTGTCCCACTTGGCAAGATCAACATAAGTGCGGTAGTCAACCGCTTCTTTAGTTTTGAAAAACTCCTTTCACAGTCCTCGTTCCACTCGAACTTGACGTTCTTCTTTGTGAGCCGAGTCAAAGGAGCAGCTAGACTAAAAAATCATTCAACAAACCTGCGGTAATAACCTGCCATTACCAGAAAGCTATGAATCTCCTTGATCGAGGTTAATTTTTCCCAATCCAGCACTGCCTCAATTTTTTTGGAGTTCACTA